GCTTCAGCGGTGAATATTTAGAAATCTGTGAAACCCGTCATACACCTTTCCCCTGCTCTTTGCATGTCATACTCTATCCTGCCCTCCCGTTGCCCATACCTCCTTGCCCCATACTCCTAGAGAACTCCGCCTTCTACCCCACCCTCCCCTCTACTCCCCTTGTAATACTAACAAATACATACGAATGAGCATAATTAAGAGTATAGACGAGATCAGAAATGAAATGAATGGAAGTATGAAGATGAAGAACGGACACAAAGACTGTATAAGCTGAAGATCTGAAGTGAAATGAACAGGAGTATGAAGGTCTGAAGAGATGCACAGGAGCATACCTTCCCTTTTACTCTGCCTCCTGAAATAACGTGCAAGTGGGCCGTGAAGGCACACGGGGATGTGGGCAGCTGCCGCTCAACCACAATCAACGTGTGCAGCCTTGTGCGTAAGAGGCACAGTAAAAGGGGAGCTGCAAGAACAATGGAAGGGGTACCCCAAGGACAACCAAAAAACTGTCTAATTATAAAATTGCTTTAATATGTTGGACATCTCAAATGCTCTCGTTGTCTGCAATAGGACAAAGACTGCTTCAATTCTGAATCTATTCACCTGGGTGGAATTGGGGCTGTTGTGGGGAAAATCTAAAACACACACACTCACAATCAGTTCTCCTCTTGGCCCACTGAAGCTCACCCAAGATTGCAAGTACAGGCCCTTCAGGGCCGGTCCGGTTGGCCTAACGGTCCACCAAAAACTGCGCCAACAATTTTCAGGGGTCCACCAGGCACTAGAACATGGCCTGGGGACCCCAAAAAAAAAAATCGGATTTTCTTGAAATGGGGCCCAACCGGACACCGGATCCAGACATCCAGACTGGACTGTCTGGATCCCGATCCGGACGTCTGGTTAACAACCATGAAAAATAGATATACATTGTCTAGAGTTTTCCATCTGGTGTTTACTGGGCAATTCTGTTTGACGATGTATTGTCCAGAATTGCAATACGAACAGCTTCTGGCTGAGGGCCACTTTGGAATTCCTTAGTAAATAATTAAGTTTGAAATATCGCAATGACCCTCACAGCTGAGGGGTAGAACAGCAAGTAGGTGTAGTCAAACTGTCAAAGGGATAGGATTTAAATCTGGTTGATGTTCGGACAGTGGGACACCCATTGATTATTTCCTAGTGCCTACCAAGTTCGTAGCAGCAGAGGTGCTCAGCTGGAACATTGAGTTTACGGAGAAGTTCACTAGTGAATCGCGACAGGCCATGCAGTACATGTAGAGGGCATAGGTCTCCATAGCTGCAGAGGCCAACAGACATCACAGACCTTCGCTGTTCAGAGAAGGAGACCTTGTCTGGCTCAGTGTGGATGAGTTCTCCTGTGAGGAAGGGATCTCGAGGAAACTGTTGTCACAGTGGTTTGGGCTGTGGAAAGTATTGTTGGTGATTGGAGATGTGACCCACATGAGCTGTCAGATTGGATTGATGTCCTACCTAATTGGTGTGCTAGTAGTGCTACCTTTTTTCCTTCTTCTTTTTCTGTTCCCTTGGCTGTGTTTTTGCTGATGGTAGATGGGAACAGTGGTAGTTGTACAATCCGGTGACCAATGATCTTCCCCACTTCTGCTCTCCCATCAACTGTACTGCATCAGATGAGTGTAATTTCAGGCTGTTATGTGCATACTGGATCTTCCTTTAAGTTTGGGTGGTGCATACAGCATCAACTGGGAGGCATGAAACACAGGGTAATTTCTGAAATGAGGTAGCACACCAATGAATGAAATAAGCGGGTGTGATGCTGCGTCTCGCTTTCCAGATAGTCCATAGTGTAATTTACGAATTTCCCCCCCCCCCCCCCCACCCCCCTCCCCCTGCCCCTCTTGCGCAGGGGCCATGCTAATCTTCTCTGTATCGTTCCAATTTTAACGGATGTCATTAAGAACGCAACGGTTTCCACTTCTCTCTGGCCATCTGATGATTGTTTTCCGTTCGTTTTTGGTTTTGGTACATGTGGTGTGCAGATTGAAGGTGTCAGTGGCGTAAAGGAAATGGAAATGCGGTCGAAAGTCGAGCAATTGCGAGCCGAGATGTCGAGAATTCCGTCAACATCCGAACATCCTCTTGGAGAGGTTGGTAGTCAGCATGGGCACTGATGTGTATACTCCAGTTAGCTGATTTTCCGCACCTCTACATGGCAACTGACAAGTCCAAGGTTGAAAATTTGTCAGATATGAAGATATGTTTGTTGTTGAGAAAAAGGTGGACAACAGGAGAAAAAAAATTCACATGTTATTGGGGTTCTGTAAGACCTGCCCAAACACGAAGTGAGAGCACAGCTGATTTCTGAGTTTTGCCGCTAGAATGAATGCCTTGCTGAGATTCCCACCTTCTGCTGAGTTTTCTAAGTCTGTGTGTGTGCGTGCTTGCTGGTCTGTGTGCCTGTCTGAGTGCGTGTTGGCTTGAGTGTGTGTGTGTGACCCGCAAGGGCACTTGTTTGTTTGGGAGGCCCTGCAGGGCCGTTACTTGTGTGTGGCCGTGACTTTGAGGGTTGCAGCAGGGAAAACACTCAAGTAGCGGGTGTAGGCCCGCGACACTTAGAGAAGCAGGGAAAGACACTCAAGTAGCAGGTTGGCCGGTACCACCCAAAGTAGCGGTAGATGTGTCGGGGACTGAAGGCCGAGCAGAAGAAGACAGAAGTTGGCATGTTTAGAAGCCCAGTAGCGGTAGGCTAGGTCTAGGCGGGTACCAGTCCAAGTAGCCTGTAGCCTAGGGCCTGTGTGGACGATGTTTCCCTCCGAAAGGGAGGAGGTAGCGGTTGCTTGGAGGCCGCACGGCCTGGAAGTCACCGCCCAAGGAGGCTGCTGCGTCGCTATATCTCCAGGAAGAGCCAGGAGCCCTTCCTCATTTGCTGCATGCGAGTTTGGACGTCACGCTGCTGGAGTGCTGGTTGGAGCGCTGCTGAGTCCAGCGCTGGGGAGAAGAGGAGCGCCCAGCTCTCCACCTCGGCAATGGTGGAGCTCGTGCAGGAGGAGGAGGAAGAAGGGGACTAGGAGAGGGGATCGCCAGGGGTGCTTACCTGGCTATGGTGGACGCCATCTTCGTCACCTTGGTGGGCGCTGCATCTGGAAGGCCCCCGTTGGGGTAGAGCTGCATCGAGAAGATTCGAGGCAGAGTCAGGCATGGCAGCCTGAGTGGAAGAGGCCACAGCTGCTTTGCGTTGTCTTTTTCACATCAGGGCAAGGCCCTAGTAGTCCGCCAGAGCCTCGGCCTAGAGGAGGGGGAAGGAGAAGGGCGACCATGGCTATGGTGGACCTCACATTGTTCTGGCAGTAGAAGAGGGATTCAGACATTGATTCTGGTTCTGTCATTCATCATTATTATTATTATTATTAATTATTGTTTGAAGAAGAGGGGAGGCGATAAGGAGGAGTTTGGTTGGCGAGAAGAAGGGAGAGTATCATTGGTCTTTGCTGGTGTACATCTTCTTCTTCTTCTTCCCCTCTCTCTCCTCTTCAGTTCATTCATTTCTTTTTGCAATTGAACGACATTTTGCTTTCTCGTGATTTTGCACTTCCAAATTGTCCAGGATCATAACATTGATATCAGAGTGGATTCTACTTGCTGGTGCGAGGTAACTTTGCTGCCCCAACCCTAACTAAGTGGTTGAGGGCACCACTTAGGGTTAGGGTTGGCCATGTTGAGGGAAGTGGGGCAGCGTGGTATAGGGAAGCTTCCCCCACCTGGTTTGGTCGTGTTGGGTCGACACTGGACCTGACCAGGTTGCTTGGTCAGGATGCTTCAAGAAGACTTTGTGGGGCAGTGTGGGAGAGGTGGCACTGAGTGCCACTCGCACCTGGAACCTGACCTAAGGGAGACTCTTGGGAACTTTAGGGCTTCCCTCAAGTAGGCGAGCTTGAGGGAAGTAGCCATTCTGCATCGACGGACTACAAGTTGCTACTTTGATCTTCAACAACGGCGCGGGATCCGGCGTTGTACTTTGGTGTTGGAATCAGACCCTCCTAGTAGATAGGACACTACTATAGGGGTAGTTCTACTTCATCTCGAAGCTCAGGCCACTCAGGGAAGTGACTTGCACCTACGGGATGCCCACGTGTGTGTGTGCATGGTATTGTTTGTCTTGTTGGTGTCATTCTGGGTTTCTTTTCCTACTCCTTTGTGGTCTTGATTGTGTGCATGAGTATGCAAACTGCTTTCTCTCCTGATGGATGGAGAGATGAAATATCTTGCTTTCAGCACCATATCTTTCTACAGTGCTTTGTCTTTTTATCTCTGAACGGCTGTAGTTAGTAGGTTCTCTCTGAAGTTGAAATTCGTTTTTCAGTTCCGTAGAGGCAGAAGTACGTCTATGCGGGACTCCTCATGTTGGTACTCGGTCATGGCCTACGTGGGACCCTTAGGTACCCAGTGGGACCAGACCCAAGCAAAAAGGGCCCCTTAGGCCCAAATCTGTTGACGTTAGGTCATTCTCTTTCTGTCTGGAATTTCGAGTTTTCTTCTTTTGGTTAGAGCACTCGGTGCCGAGGGGATCTTGCCTGAGACGTTTTGCATACTTTACCGCACATTCCGTGGCTTGACTTGCACCTTATACACCACTCAGTTCGCCATTGTTGTATGTTATTCGATGTCTGATTTTGCTGTACGTTGACGGAACTGATCAGATTGGGCTTGAGGGGATCTCATACTCGATCTGATCAGGCTGAGACGCTGGATCAGAACTCTCATCTGAATTTATTTCTTTTATTTATTTTTATTTGGTTGCTCTCTATTCCAAATGTATTGCAGCTCCAGCTAGGAATTCTACCTTCTCTTTCTTCGTGTTTTTCAGATTGTTTCTTTCGCTGAGTTTATTTTAGATGCCCATGGAGAATCGTGGACAAAAGGAAGAGAGAGAGAGTAGAGAAAGAGAGAGCACTCACCTTGAGAGATCAGATATGCCTACTGCGAATTCTGGTAGTGCTAACATGGCAATGGTAAAGGCTTATGTGGCCCTAAAAGCCCAAATGGATGCAGCCGATGAAGAGGACAAACCGTTGTACAAAGTCCTCTACGACAAGGCGGTCGAAAAGGAGGAGAAGGCAGAGGAGGCCAAGCAGAAAACCGCTATGGAGGACCACGAGGCTGTCTTCAAAACAGTCCCCTCCTTACCTGCCACTAAGGTCAAGAAAGATCTGGTCACATATGTGTGTGCTCTTGTAGACTGCCACTTAGTCCGTGCACTACCTGGTCAGGTGTCCAAACTGTACGACCAGGCTAGTCAACTGCAAACGCAGATTGCAGATATGGCCAGAGAGCACCGTAACCAGTTGCAGCAGATAACAAATCTGCATAAGGCTCCGGTCCCTAGTTCCTTTCCTTTACTAGCTGCCTCTAATGCTGCCAACTAGTCTGTCCTTGCCCCTCTCTATGTTGCTTCAGCAAGCGACAGCGCAGGCAGTTATGCAAGTGCTGCAGCCCCAAGCCCAGAGACAGTAGTTGCTGGTCGCAGCTATAGCTGTCCCTATGTGGACAGGAAGGCGGTTCAAATACCTCCCAAGTACGATGGTAAGGATAACATTGAGTCTTGGATAAACAACATGCGATCTTATTTTGAAATGTTCGGAATGCAATTAGTATGTCAACCCTTGATTATGGGGACCAATGTGGAACCAGTCGTACGGGGCTTCTTGGAAGTTCAGGCTTATGCAGATGGGCTATACCTGCATCAAACTGACCTAGTGGCTTAACGCCACACCGATTGGCACCCTCGAAGATCTGCTCACTCAATAATATAAAGGCCCACATGTTGCTGCAAGAATAAGGCTTCAGCTTGACAAGCTCAAGCACAGCAAGTGGTCGAGCTCCATTAAACATCTCTTGTCCCATGTTGGCAACTTGTTTGCTACTCCAGGATTAGAGATGTTTGCACAATCGTGCTTCGATGTGGTGAAAGGGGTGGTTCCCTCTACCTATACTTGTCGCCTAGGCAAAGGACTCATGGACTATACCGACTGGTAGACATAGTCAGTCTCCGGGCACACGACCTCGTTTCTACAACAGGCAGCAGCAAGAAGGCCTTTGGTCGGGGGCGGTTTAGAGGCAGCAGCCGTTTCGCCGTGCACGACTTGTTGGAGGCTGATGAGGAGGCATATGCAGATGACCCCACTCTTCGTGACGACCAAGAACAGGATGCTGATACAGCCTGTTCCTCCTCAGTCCGTGAGTCTGATTTGATAAATGAAGAAGAGAAATGTAATGCCTTCAAGTCTGCCAAAACGAAGGGACCAAACTGAAACTTAGGGAAGAGTTTTGTTCCACTCCCCAAGAGAGCCAAAATCCCAGCCAAACCGGAGGATGCAGCAACCAAACCTTGGGTTGACCTCCGGATCAACGAGGCTGAATAGAAGGCTGGGATAAGAAAGGGGGTTGCCTGCATTGCCAGAAACCGAATCATAAAGTCCAAGATTGTTATAGGCTGCAGGGAAACCAGAACCGGGTGTAGAGTCGTTGTCAGCACACTCTACTGCAAGTGAGACTGAACCGGTGAGTGGTAGGTCCTCTAAGGAACCCGATTCAGTTCAGCAGTCCTCTCTTGAAGCCCCATCACCTGCTGATTCCAATTCTGATGCATGCCATGTCCTTTATGTTGAGCCTTGGGAGAAGTCTGAGAAGGATAACTTGTATGGAACATCTTTTGCGTGAACCATGGGTGTCTTTTGTCTAAATCTGCAACTCCTAGGCCGTCTTCTGTGCGAATCTGCGAATCCAGGGGTGCCTTTTATCTGAGATCATGTCGGTTTGACTTGTATGTAGAATCCTGTGTGAATTTGCAAACCGTGAACCATGGGCGTCTTGTGTGTGAATTTGCAAACCCTGAACCATGAGCGTCTTTTGTGTGAATTTGCATGGGCGTGTTTTATGTGAATTCATGTCGGTTGACTTGTATTGAAAATTTTAAAACAGCTTGAGGTTGCAAGTCAACTTGATAAGCTGGAGGAGAAGTTGACAGCGTTGGACGAAATGGTATCACAGGCAGATCCAGAGGTCAGGCAGATGTTAAGTCAGAGTTCCAATCTGTGGATGCCTGTGATCTGCTCAAGTGCAGCGGAACGCGAAGAGAATGCATCAGGAAGTGTGCTGGCAGATTCTGCCGAAGGACGATCTTCTTCACCACCCTCTGCGCCTGCACTCTCTGTTACAGACGTTGATGACTTGCAACGTGCTTGAGCTGATAACAACTGAGATGATACTCTTTCCTTCTTTCAGGATAAGTCCAAAACAGTCTGCTTGCCATTTTTGGTAACGGGTTTTGTTTTTTTCCTTCTGTTTCCTTTTTCTTTCCCTCGTTTTTCCTCCTTTTCTCTCCTTTTTTCTCTTTTTTTCCTTTTCTTCCTCCTTTTTCCCTCTTTTTTTCCTCCTTTTTTTCCTCCTTTGTTCCTCCTTTTTCCCTCCTTTTTTCTCTCTGCAATAACCCCAGCCGTATGCCACATGGAATGTCTGAGGGCCTCTCCAGGCCGCACTCAGACCCAGGCCAAAGGTGGGGAAAGAACCCCACGTCTAAACTCAGGGCCTGGACGAGATGGAGTTGACTAAAGTCAACTGTAGGACGCCCAACAGTCAAAGTCCAAAGTGGACCCAGCCCAGGCCGCCGGTCAGACGCACACACTTGTTTGTATGCAGGTACCCAGACAGCATCAGGACCAAGGGGAGATCTGCAGCTGTACACAATCCAGGCCCTCGGCTGTGAGTCAATCTGTACGACTGTGGGAAGAGGACCCAAGGCCAGACAACCTCGTCAAACACTACAAATTGCTTGGTCTCGGGGTAGTCAACATTCAATCTTGCTATGCTGCTTGGACGCTGGCTCGACTCTGACTGGAATCTGGCATTGACGCTGGCACGATGCTTGCGAGACGCTGGCTTGACACTGGCTGTGCGCACGCACTGTGGACGACGACGCGGGGCTGTGGCAGCATGCTGGCGCTTTCTGTGCTGTGCGCCAGGCATTGCTGATGTGGCGCTGCCACCTGCCTACCCTGCTGATGTGGCGCATGCCACTTGCCTACATTGCTGATGTGGCGCATGCCACTGGTCTACATTACGGATAAGGTGCATGCCACTGGTCTAGATTGCTGATGTGGTGTTGCTACCTGTCTTCATTGATGATGTGGCGCATGCCACCTGTCTCTACAGCTGACGTGGCATTGGCCACGCTGTCTACATGAGGTGACTGGTTGCGACAAGGAGGGAGATCGGGATCTGTGGATGATTGGGATCTGGTACTCACCTGAGGTTGACGTCATTACCGTATTCTGCTGCTGTCTTCATGGTCTTCACGAGATAAGAGTGCCACGTGGCACTGCTGTGAGATTAGGATTATCATACTTGTTATCGTATACTCGTTGATGACGTGGAGAGGAAAGAAGCCCGGAGAAGAAGTGGGGTTTGATTGGATTACTCTTTTGTGATCATTGTCATCTCTTCCACCTTTCCTCTGTCTATTCCCCCTCCAATCTCTTCACCTATTGGTAACGAGATAATGTTTCAGATAACACTTCACGACAACTGGAGACTTTGTGCAGATCTGAGACTACTTGTGCTTTGACGTCTGACGAGTATCTGCCAGACTGGGTTCATTACATCTCGGCTACCAGAGTGGCCCGGGACCACTTGCCCGGCTGGGCCAAAAAATAATAATAATAAAAAATATATATAATGTATTTATTATTATAAATTATTAAATCTATTATTATGATATTATCTTTATTTTTATTTTTTATTTGGTAAAGACTTTAAATGTGACCCTGAGGTAATTTATTTTTCTGCATAACAATGATAACATAGTTTTTTTTTGGGTTTTTTTTTTTCTTTTTTTTTTTTGCGCTGGGACCTTCCCTGGTCCTTTTACGGCCGGGCCGCCTGGGAAAACAGGGTGACCCGGGCGTCCCGGCTGGTAGCCTAGGTTTTTCTCCTTTTTTTTAAAGGTATTGTATTTGGACTTTGTAATTTGTTTTTCCCGAACATTTTAAGGTGCACCTGCTTGGTGGCTGAATATTACACGTGTGGAACTGGCAAGAAACTGATTGAGGGGGTACTCACACGAGCACTTTTTTAATGTCCCTGACCGCATTTACGACCCGACCTGGACGTATCTGACCTCAGTTACGTCCATACATAATTCAAGAAGTCCTAGTGTGAGTATGCCCTGAGAGTTAAGTCGTGTGGATACAATAATGTCAGAGCTGCCCCGTTCTTCTTCTTAAAAGAAGGGCTATTTACATCAGCACGTTTATGCATTCCTCCTATTCTTCTCGATCTTTGTAGCCATTACCTTATAATGGATAGTCATTACAGGGATGGACAATGAATCGGAAATTGTGTCCCTGCTATGCATTGTAATGCAGCTTCATGGAGGGATGGGCAATGAAAATGTGCACGCACCATCAGGAAGTACTAACTTCGCACACGCCACTTCTCTTGTAAATGTATCGTAATACGGCTACAGTCGCACTTGTTTACTTCAGCTCTGGCAAAAGTATGGTCTAAGCGTGCCCGTCCTACTTGCCTGCCTGCCCACCTGCCTCTTTGACTACCCGCCATTCCCACTTCCCTCATACCTGCCTCCCTCCCCCTGGTCTCTCTCTCTCT